CAGGGAGATGGAAGAGGGCCGCGCACACATGCTTAATCTGACGGTAAATTTAATTTTTGTCCTGTCTGCTCAGTAGAAATTTCGGCCGCAGAAAGCAGAAGCTGTCAAGCAACCCAAGGTTTTTTTGTTTTCTGGGTCACAGCAGACATCTCCAACTCTGAGGACAAGTTTCCTACCCAGCCAAAAATCCAGCCTTTGTTTGTCAATTTAGTTTACTTCTTTCGACTTAATTTCTGACTGGTTTTATCGCCAAGTAAGAGGGCGATCGGGCTGTGTATCATAGAATGTGTGACCGCTCGTAGAAGTGTGCTTCAGGGCAACTCGGTGGTTTAGTAATTCATTCTGCCTGATCAGTGAACGCCGCCTACAAATATCCATTTTCGTTAAATCGTTTCTCAAGTTCCTTTATTCTAACGTGCAATACTGGACCCGTCTTTATATTTCTGTATTTTATTGACTTGTGCTCTATTCCATTTCAGGCTTACGCAAGTTTTTGCTCTAAATGGTAATAATTTAAGCAGAGAATTGACTGCTCTTCTTGATTTTTTTCCCAGTGTTTTTTTTTGTAGTGTATTAAAAGGAGTTTTCCTTCTTTTTGAGGTTATGCATCTGTAAATAAATCGACCCAATGGACACTGCGTTTACTCTTGCAAAGGAGGCCCTTGCCGCAAATGAAGTCCCCATCGGCTGCTCGTTCGTTTACAATGGAAACATTGTTGCATCTGGACGAAATCATGTATGACCTCTCCCAGATATTTCTAACTTCCAGGTGAATGAATACAGGAATGCCAGTTTACATGCCGAAATATTAGCCATAATGGAATTGGAGCAGTGGTGTAAAAGTCAGAATTTGGACTTTGCAGAAGTTCTCTCTCACTCTATTCTCTACGTAACTGCGGAGCCTTGTATCATGTGTGCCGCCGCCCTTCGCTTCTCGCTGCCCAGCCAACCGCTAAAGTAGGCTCCTTAAAGTCGTTTTTTACTAGTACTTCGTTTAGGATAGTGTACAGTGCCAAGAACGAGCGTTTTGGTGGATGTGGCTCTGTACTGAGTATTCACTCCGACCCTTCGTCCTGCCCGCCCTTGGTTTGTGAAGTAGACAATCGTGCTGATGAATCCATCGACCTACTGAAACAA